TAAGTACTAAGATTGAATGTCACTTGGGGGTTGAATAAAAACTAATAATGATGTGAGCACAGAAAAGACATTTGTGGTTATTTCATTATAAACTTAAGGTTATATTTCTCTGACCTACAAGTGCCTCTTTCATGTAAATGTAAGCAAGATGACTGAATGATCAAAATCAATGTCAAAATGGCCAAAACATCCAATTTCAGTGGGGGTTGAATAATTTTGAACACAACTGTACATTGTTAAATGAAGCAATCGCTAAGCGAGGCACAACTGTATTATGGTTTCAAATCTTAATGAATTTGTTTTAATCAATGTTTGATTTAAATTTTTTGTTTGTGCTGCCTTGGGTTCTCATTTGGGAAAGTGGCGTTGACAACTGGAGGCATTCAAGAGAAACTTAGACAACCACCTGGCAGATCTGCTTTGATTTGCATTCCTGCATCGAGCAGGGGTTTGCACTTGATGGCCTTGTAGGCTCCTTCCTACTTCACTATTCTGTGATTCTATGATAAAAACCAAATGAATGAACGAACGAATAAACAAACAGAGATCTGCCTACCTTGGGAAGGGTCATAGCCAGAGTATGGAGAACTAAAATACTTTTTGGGAATACAGCTCCTGGAGTCCTCTAACCAGTGTGACCAGCAGTCATGCAAGCTAGGGGAAGCTAGGATTTGTTATCCAGAAAGTAACCTTCCTGTCCTCTGGCCATAGCCTGGTAATAGAACCCATTCTTTGGATGTAAAGGAACTAGGGTCAGTCCATGGCATCTCCAGATAACTGATGGGAAAGATTCCTGTTTGGAAGCTTAGAGAGCCACTGCCAGGTGTTACTAAAGGGACTTAACGCCCCAATATGAGACAAAGCAGGACAAAGTAATTGCTTTGGGTGACAACTTCTAGAATGCCCCAACCAGCATAGCCGCTTTTGAGTTGGCTGGAGGGGTGTGGGAGTTACAATCTGAAATTGTTTTTGCCATGCCCCAACGTAAGAACAGCTTCCAGTATCCTTTTCTGTAGTCCTGTTTCTACAGAAGTCAAAATGCAGAAAATGCGCTATAGCTACAATGCATCCTTAGATAACTTCAGAACAACTTTCCATTGTTCATAATATCTATCCTTCTGGTTATGTCTTTGAACCACAGAATATAAACAGCCAATGAAAATCTTAATTAAGAAAGTACTTATCATTCATAGCACCCTTCTCTTAAAGAAGGAACAGATGTGTAACACCTGTTACAAAAGGCAATTAGAATATTATATGGGCACAGCACAATTCAGTAATTGCTTGGAAAGTCTGAGCTCAGCAAAGCTGGGAGGGTGGGGAAGCAGTCACCTTCCCTGTCTGAGTTGGTAAAGTTCACTATGATGTCTCCAGTAGCTGCTGAAGTTCCCAATCTGTTCCCTCTGGTCTTTGGCATTTCTTTCCTTTTGGGCTGCCCCTAACATTAGGCACAGTGAGATGGCTGCCTGAGGACCAGATATTGGTAGTATCAGTACCATGGCTATTGCTCCTGAGCCAGCACTACAAAAAGTTTTGATCTTCCCTGAGTGGCTTTCCAGCCTATTCCACTACTTCCAGCCAGAGCTTTGAACAGCTAGATCGGCTTGAAGTTTCAGCAAGCTAAAATCCAAAAAGGGAATTTTTCCTAAGATCTGCTCTGACTGAATCACAGAGAATACTGGCCAAAATCCTCTTGCATAATTACACTGGCGTAAAATCAATGAAGCTGACTTGATAGCTCAGTGAGTGGAGTCAACAGTTGTGAGTTCAACTCCCCACTGTGCCACCTGGGAAAAAGCCACCCTGTGTAGCCTTGGACAAGCTGCCTGGTCTCAGAGCACCCCAGAAGAAGGGAATGATAAGCCATGTCCAAGTACAGTGGTGCCTCGCTTAGCGATTGCTTCATTTAACGATGTATTCGCTTTGCGATGTGTTTCTTTGAGGAATTTTCAGCATCGTTTAACAATGTTCTCTAGGGGGAATTTCACTTAATGATGTCCGTGTTTGCTCATTTTAAGTGTCTTACAATGTTTGGAACATGTTTTAAATGGTTGGAATAGTTAGTCCACCTTGTGAAACCTATGCACACTTAGTTTGGCTTTCTTCTGAGTCTTCGTTAATTTTTGGTGATTTTTTGTTTTTTCCTTCATTGAAATCCATTGGACTATCCGTCCATTGGAACGGATTAACCGGTTTTCAATGCATTCCTATGGGAAATGGTGTTTCACTTAACGATGTTTCCCATAGCAATGGGTTTTTTTGAACCAATTAACATCGTTAAGCGAGGCACCACTGTACTCTGTGTCTAGAAAACCCTTGAAAGGGTCATCTTAAGTTGGAATCAACTTGACAGTGAGTAATTGTTATTATTATTAAAGTTAATGATGTAACTGTTGGAAGCCAATTGCCGCAAGTTAAGAAAACACCATAGACAATAAACACCAGATAATGTCTGCAGTGGTTTCTTAACTTGAGACGATTTGCCTCTACAAGTTATGTCGTTAGCATTACGCTAGTGTAACTACACAGTTGTTACAGCCAAAAAAGGCTCCTGCCTATAGGCAACGTGATAACCCAAGGCATACTCTATAGAACAGGCATAGTTCTGCTAAATGTAACACACCTATTGGTACTGCAGGTAATGTTTGTTTAAGCAGGAGGTAGCAGGCTATAGGCAGCATGATTAGCCATTGGTAGCAAGATGTTGAAGAGCAGAACTGTCTGTCCCCATGCTGTATGTCCTTTACTTCCCGAGGTAGCCTGATGCCCCCAGCACAGTGCAAGACACTAGCCTATTATCAGGGTTGGAGTAAGAATCTTATACCAGCCCATCCAGAATCTGGTTTATTTCTTATGGGACTTCATTTCTACAGAGGCACAGTGAGTCCTTCAGTATAAGAGAGTGCAAACCATGGTTTACCCATACAATGAGCAAGCTGTAGTTTATGCTAAAGCAGAAGAAAGAGGAGAGGTTGCTAATGAGAACCATATCAGGGTCTGAGGTTATATCTGAATCTAGCCATTGCCATAATTTCTGTGATATTTCACTGGTTTCAGGAGTTTGTCCCTTGATTTCTGCATGCAGAGTTCCCGTCAGCCACCCTGGTGAATGTTGTGCATTTCTGAGTGCAGCCGTGGATTGTGTATTTGCCGCTAAAGAGACTTGGAAGGCTGGAGATCGCTGTATTGCTGTGCTTCTTTTACAGAAGCCACTATTCCCCCCGCCATGCACACACACACACTAGTAAGTAGAGAAGCAGGACACAAGAGATGGGCTCAAACTCAGTCCACAACTTCATTGACTAAGTCCCCGAACGGAGGTGGGGCCTAGAGTAGTGCATCAAACGTAGGGACAGGAACAGGTGCCCAACCTGTCCCCTCTCCAGTCTGGGCTGGATGAGTCCCTTGACCTGGAGTGATGCTGTCTCCTTCCTAATTTTTGTGAACTGAGTTTGGCTCAGAAGGCCATCCCTACTTGTGCACCTGAATCACATGATTCTCAGTACCCATTTGGGGCATCTAATCACCAGATGGAGCCCTGTGGAGCTCACTGCCCCTCTTCCAGCATTACCCACCATCGGAAGGGATAAATCGCTCTTACTTAGCTCCCTCGCCAGTGAGAAAGAGGCTTGCTGTAGAAAGAAGCCCAGCGCTCCACCCCAACACAAAGCAATCTTTCCACCATGCCAGGGCCCAGTATGTTGTGAAACATGTCTGTTAGCAATGCGGATCAGATGCAGGAAGTCCACTCCAGCCCTTTTGTTACAAGCCACTCAGTTCGTGAAATGGAAAGAGGAGGAGGCCAAACACTTTATTTCTAGTTCGAGAAGACTGTGTTTACCTTTCCATGCAGACTTTCTCAGAAAAGCTCTTCATCAGAGAACCTCTGTGAAGTTTGCCAGCACTATAAACCGCAGTTGCATCAAGCATGCACTCTGCACTGTAGCTCATCACTGCCCAGAATTGTTTCTGATAGTTATGTCATACAAGAATGCTGGCCAAGCTGGCTGGAGCAGTCTGAAAACTCTCATCCAAAAAAAATAACTTTTCCAGTCTCTGACACAGATTGTTGGTCTGGAATCAGACCTACCTTTGGAGAAGGGCTGTCACTCCGTAGTAGGATGTGTTATTTTGCATACAGAAAGTCCCAATTTGAATCCTTAGCAGTTGTGGATAGTAGTTAGGAGAGACTCCTGTCTGGAGTTGTATAATTTAACACATTAGCAGGGATCCAGATTGGGAAAGGCTGCCCTAGTAGGGTTTTTTTAATTTGTGCTTCTCAGCTTCTCCACACCACATTGGATTTTAGAAGCTGGTCATGTTTCAAATGCGAATTTTTCACTGCACGAGATAATTGATGCCAGGAGAAAGGCAAAGAATTGTGAGGTGTGTGCACGACTTTCAAGCATCTAAAGTAGCTTTAACTTTCAGGATTGTGGCCAGCTTGTCTATGCCCAGCAGCCTTGTCTGATGCAACTAAACAATGAGGAAGTGTTTGGAGTGTGAACACCCAGTGAGGGCCAATAAATGCATTAATATATCTCCTCCCATCTCTAATGCATACAGGCTGTCACTTTCATAATAACTGCACTAACGCAGATTTGGCAACAGTAGGTGATGCTAATAATAAAATGATACTGTTCATCACAATTTACAGAGATGTCCCGTAATCCTTTCAGTTTTGTTATCCCTCTTTTTTAGATGAGGGGTAAGAGTGAGGCTGAGAAAATAATAGCTGACCTGGAATTTGTAGCCAAGATGTCATTCAGAGCCTTCCTAGCTCATATTCTTCACTTTTTTGTGACACTGGTTCCAAAGTAATGCCATTTTATAGCTAATGTACTATGATGTTCTGGTTAAAACATCAATTCCAGGAAAGCAATATGATGGATGTTGTATTTGCGGCAGATTCTGTGCAGGATTTTGGTAGTGAGCTATGAAACATCCTTTCTGATGTCCCCTTCTGTTTTGTTTCCCTCCTTTCTCTCCTCTCCTCCTAGTGTGCACTGATGAGAAAGAAGTTGAGCCTGATCAGCAAATGGACAACTTGTATCTGAAAGCTTTGGAGGGATTTATCATGGTCATCACACAGGATGGAGACATGATCTTTTTGTCAGAGAACATCAGCAAATATATGGGCTTGACACAGGTAAACTATCTTCTGTTTCATAACGCAGAGCTAGATAATAACACTTCTGTATATAAGCCACATAGTTTCTGTCTTTTTCTTCTTGGTACAACTGTTTTGCTTGAATGCAATTTAACAATATCTTCTCATAAATATCAAAGCATCAAAAGTGAAATATATTGTAGTTTCTGAAGGACTTTTCTGATGTAGAGCATAGAGCTTTTGGGGTTGCAGAATTAGAGTCACTGTAAAGAGTTTGTCCTCCTACTGTTATTAACTTTGCTCTAGTGAAGAAATGTACATATGCAGCAGCAGAGACATGTAAACGTGGAGGTGTTTGCCAACCACTGCTGCCTCCAAGTTTATTTGTGCCTATTTTCTTTGGGAGGTTGCGGGGAGTCAATGCACCATATTAAGCGCTGCTCTGTGCATCTGGTTCTTCATGCAGGTGAAGTATTCATCATCTTTTTAAAATTAATATATGTTGAAGTTCCTCTAGCCTTGATTCTCAGAAACTTCTAGAATCTAGATCAAGGCCAAAGAACATACTACCCTTTAAATGTTGGGTCTCAAAGCCTATAGTTTCTGACAATAGCTGTTCTGGCTTGGGCTCATGGCGCTGATAGTTCAAAAACATCTGATGGGTCATTGGTTTCCTACCCCTCTTCTGGAACTTGTCCTGAGACTTGATTGGGCTAACTTTGAGATTCACAGACATAGCACAAGATCTGCATGATTTGTAAACCTTCAGATTGAATGAAGTTTCCTACAGAACCCACTAGGATCTCAGTTAAGGTTAGCTTTTCTGTCTGTTGATTGCAAAGACAACTGTCAAGCTTTGGACCGAGTTCAGTTTGGTGGGTTGCAAAGAGCAGAAATGCAGGGCTTGGAAAAGTGAACTCTTTTGGACTCCAACTCCAAGAATCTCTTAATCAGCATGACTGTAATCTTAGCTAGGTTGTGAACTTTCCTCCCTATTGTTTCTGTCCAAAAGAGCCTTCAAAGCAGGAATCCTATACAGTAGGCTCTGATTTCCAAAATCCACCACAAATTCTTGAAGGATGAGACATATCCATCAGAGAAACAGAATTTTTCTTGTGCAGTACCTTGAGCACTTTGAGCAAGGGCCAGGCAATTCTCCAAGACTGAATCCTAGGTGGGATGGTGAGAGCAATCTTCCAAACAAAACAAAACAAAACAAAACAACGAATCGTAGGTGGGATGGTGAGAGCAATCTTACAAACAAAACAAACAAAAAACAAACCCAACCCCGGCATTTTCCTTCAAAATTGTGGCCATGGTATCCACTCTCAGATGCCCGCTGAAGTGAAAATCTGCTTTGATAAAAGCTTTGTTTTTGATACAAGCATCTGCAAGCTTTGTTTTTTAAAAAAAAGAAATACACTTTTGTTAAACTTATGCTATGCCAGCAAATTTCAGGAACACCACAGTAATTCAGTACCAACAGTAGCAGCAGGGTGGACACATAAAGGTATGAGGGCCTGCGTGTGGCCTGCAGGAAATGTGTTGCCCAGTTCCATTTTGGGAGGTAAGTGTGATAATCTAAAATACGTTGCCTAGTATAAAATATTGATGTAATACCAATTGTATTTTGTTATTATCCCCAACCAGGTGGAACTGACTGGACACAGCATTTTTGACTTCACTCATCCATGTGATCATGAGGAAATTCGAGAAAACCTTAGTCTGAAAAATGGTAAATCATTTTTTAAAACCTGGTGTATTCTAATAATGTTGATCTTCCAAGACTTTGCCTTCAAACAGGGCTGCTGCTTCTCAATAATCATATTGTCACTTTATTCTGTAGTACTAGCAGGGAACTGTTGGCCCATAGGCAGAGACAGGAAACATTTGGTTCTTCATCATGGTCTCTGTATTTCCCACAATTGGGTTCTGTGTGAACACTTCCACAGAAACTAGGATAACGGCTGCTTTGTTTGAAGATTTTGACACACTGTGCTTCGTAAATGCCTAGATGAGATGTCTCACACTGTCATGAAAATCTAAATTGCGAACAAGGAAGTTAGCATTCTTTCCATCTGTTGTTTTCATCGCTTTGGGTGGACTACAGCAAGTGTAGAGATCAAAGGGTGCACCTTGCAACAGAACTTTCAATACATGGTTGATATTAAAGTGAGTTTTTAAAAAAGTGTCTCCATTCCTCATAGGTCCAGGCTTCGGGAAAAAAAATAAAGACATGTCCATGGATCGTGACTTCTTCATGAGAATGAAATGTACTGTCACCAACAGAGGCAGAACTGTGAATCTCAAATCTGCCACATGGAAGGTATGATTTTTATGCACTGCTCAAAAGATTCAACGGTTTGGAGAAAATACTCCTTAATAATATAAATAACCCTTTTACATTTCAGGTTTTGCACTGCACTGGACAGATGAAGGTCTATAATACTTGTCCACCTCATGCTCTGTGTGGCTATAAGGAGCCTCTCTTGTCCTGCCTCATATTAATGTGTGAGCCTATTCAGCATCCTTCCAATACTGACATCCCCTTGGACAGTAAGACATTTCTGAGTCGTCATAGTATGGACATGAAGTTTACCTATTGTGATGACAGGTAAAACAATGTGCAGGTTTTTTTTTTTCATTGCAAGGGTGGGGAATAGTGTGGCCTTCCCTATGTTGTTATCCCCTCTGATACTGCACTTGTTTTGTGGCCAGCTTTCATATCATTTTCTGAAGCTGCATGTTCTTTGTGAAAGGATGAAGCAACCTTTCATTTCTTCTATGTAATTCTTCAAGTATATTGATTCCATCTTCTCCTTAATTTGTCCTCATCAGTTAATATATTGCCCTGAGGATCTTTTCACATTCCTACCTAGGTTGAAATTTCCCTTTGATTACCTGGGTCTTATGTAAAATAGCACTTGTTTTTCTTCGTTGTTGTTTTTGTTGTTCTGTTTCTTTGCTATGATTGTTATAATAGTGCTACTTGTTGCGTCCTGATCCTATTTCTACCACCTTTTATTTTGTTTCTTATCTGTCTTTAACCATTTTCAGTGTTTTATTGGTCATCTGTCAGGTTTATTCCTTTTCTTCTAACTACAGGAATAATCCTTCCCAGATAATATCTCTGGTTTCAGTGTACAAGTTAACATTCATCATTAACTGAGTTTAGTAACCCAAATATGTTCTTAACATGAATTTTACATTCACCATCAAGATTATTTAAATTATATTTTGGCTATGTGAGAGTTTTTATATTTAGTTTTACTCAAATTTTTGATGTTAATACTTCATAACCTGCATCACAGTCTGCTCCAGGTCTTGTTTTCACACATAGAACAGAGATTCTCCATTTTCTGCTTCCAATTGTACTCTGTTTGGTTTCTGTATAGATATAGTTCTAAACACTGAAACTCTTGAGGTATTTGTGTGTTCCAAAATGTGTGTCTACAGAATTGCTTCCATCAGCTATTTTTACTTTCGTTGAAAATAGGAGGGCAACATTCAGCATTGTTCTCAACCAGGCATATTAAAAAAAGTTTAGCTGTTGTGGCAGCTAGGATTGTAGAAAAGATTAGACAAATGCTCTTATGACTACGCAAAGACAACTTGTGACTAAGATCAGAATGTTTTGGGACTTGGCATGAAAAATAGCTTGTTAACAGAAATGTGCTCTGAAGATGTGATATAAATCTGGTCTTTTGGCAAAAATTAACTAGTGCAAGTCTGTATAGCACAGTCCATTGCCATGTATTTTTAGCTTAAGTATTTGAATTCTGCTTGACTTGTGCAAAAACAGCATGGTTTACCAAGGATTCTGATCGCCCACTTTTTATTATTCTTGAACTTCTTTCAGCTTAATGGGTCCCAGCTTTTGTAGGACTGAGACAATGTTATTAAAAACAGGTAACAATAGAACATATGAATGAAAACAACTCACTAATCGGGAAAAACAAGAAATCTCTTCCAGAAGATTCAGAAAATCAAAGAGAAATTTGAGGCTGGATTAGGAATCCTTAGAGAACAGGAGAGAATCATACTATCTGACCAGGAGAAAATTTTTTAAAAAGGTTGAAACAGTATACTGAAGACCTATACAGAAAAGATGAAAGGATGAAGGACTGCTTTGAGTAGGAATCTTATCATGAAGAACCCACAATTCTAGAAAGTGAAGTGAAAGCTGTTCAGAAAGCACTGGGAATAAATAAATCACCAGGGTTAGATACCAATAAAACTACAGTATTTCAAGCTACAGACACTGAATCTGTCAAAATCCTAACAAAAATATGTCAACAAATATATATGGAAAACAAAATATTGCCCCACAGACTGGAAACACTCGATATACATTCCGATTCCCGAGAAAAGGGATTCCAAGGACTGTTGTTCAGGTCAGGATATTTTTGAGACCATTCATTTATAGGGTCACCATAAGACAGAGATGACTTGACAGGATATTTTTGAGACCATTCATTCATAGGGTCACCATAAGACAGAGATGACTTGATGGCACGTCAACAATAATTCAACAGAGCATTTGGATTAAGTCTGTTCAACTTGTGAACTGTCAGAACCAAATAAGGGGAGGTCAGAAGTAGCTCAGTGGTAAAGTATGTGCTTTACAACTGAAGAAGTCCCAGGTTCAGACCTTGGTGTCTCTAGTTTAAAAATTATTAGATCTTAGATAAAGGGAAGGACCTTCCCTGCCTGGGATTTTGAAGAATGACTGCTAATCAGAGGCTAAAGAAACAGTCTGACTTGTTATAAGGCATTTTTGCATATGTCTAATATAGAACTTGGAAAAGTTAAAAATTTTTACCTTATCTCCCACATTCCTAGTAGCCGTGCTGGCTGGGAGATTGTGAAAGTCAAAATCTGAGAAAAGTAACATTTCCGTGCTCTGACCAAAACCCCACAGGCCATTTTGTGTAGTCTGCCAGGTGCTTGACAACCCCAATGCTTTTTGCAGTTCTTAAAACAAAAGGAGGAAGAGTTATGCTGTGATGGGAAGGAATTGGGAACTGAAACAGTGGAGGTCCACTGGAGGGCTCTGTATATGGGAACTATATGGTGTAGCTTTATGTTGCCCCCTCCTGCCAGTGGATGGGAGCAAACATCAGGAAACCAATGTAAAGGATGTGATACTAGCCCTCTGATGGATTCATCTTCAGCGATGGGATGGTTGCAAAATGATAAGGGAATGTGCAAGTTAGATCCAAATCCTGGGGAAAAGTAACTTACATCTGGAATGACACCAGTCTTACTAATCTAGCTTGGAAGTACATGTTTATTTTTGTATGTGTTATAATGGTTGGAATTCATTGTTTTAGATTCCTTGGAAACCAAGACATTAAGCTTAGAAATTTTTCTGTAATAGTCCTTGAGTTTATAGTAACCCTGTGGAGAGGGAGGAGTGAGGTTTTACATGACCTTTAGATATTGCTTTCCTTCAAATTAATCTTGCAATATCATAAGACTTTTTTGGATTTTTTGGAGGATGGAGGAAGATAATTAAGGCTGAAAATAGGGATGTGAAAAGTGTTCAGTTTCAATTTCATTGTATTTCCCTGAATCCCACCTGCATTTTCTTCACATGCTTGTTTCATGTCAGATTATGAAACCTGTACTATGGGACTGAGACAGTTCTGGTTGCCCTGCTTGATGACCTGTTAAGGGAGACCGACCCAGGGGTGTGTGGACCTTGCTGGTCCTCCTGGATCTCTCAGCGGCCTTCAATACTGTTGACAACAACACCCTCCTGGCCGGGTTATTGGGTTTAGGGATTGGGGATTCAGTGTTATACTGGCTCCAGTCCTTCCTCAATAGCCATGTCCAGAGGATGCAGCTTGGGGGTTCTGTTTTGTCTCTGTGGGTTCTGCACTGTAGAGTCTCACAGGGGTCAATCATCAATGTTTTTCAACATCTATATGAGGCCATTGGGGGAGGTCATTGTCATCAATATCCTGATGATACATACCTCTATCTCTTATTGATCAGCAGCAGTGGAAGTTTCGTCCTTACTGACATTCAGGAAACATGTGAAGCCTGAGCTTTTCGAAGAGGCCTTTGATAACACCCTCCTATTGTGATATTTTCACGGGCACACATGTTTTAATTTGTTTACCATTGCCTAGATGTCCTGTTTATTGGGTTTTTAAAACTTATTCTTCTTGTGTTTTATGTTGTGGGAGGATTATTATTGTGAGTCACCTGAGCAGATTCTCTTTGCTATTGCCCCAAACTTTCCTTTCAGAATAATAGCTTCTAGTGCCTGCTTTTGTTTTAAGAAATATTGGAGGAAATTTGTTTTGTGTGCCATGTGTACTTGGAGCTCAACAAGGAAGGGAGACAATGATGGTCAGTGTAGTGTGGCAAACAGCACTGAGACTGCACTGTGAAGAGTTAGGATCAATCTCTGCTCATCCATGCAACTTACTGGGTGGCCTTGGCTTTACCATCTCTCAACTGTATTTTACATGGCGGTGAATTCCTTGAAGGAAAAGCAGTCCACAAATGAATTTGATCTTAAACTGGAGTAGATTTCCCTAAATTCAGTGGGATGCTACTACTAATTTCTCATAGGATTACAGCCCAGCAACAGAAGAAAAATGAGCAAGCTTAATGGTATTGAGAAAGAGAGAAAGCATACATGCTAGGCAAGAGTCTTCCTTCTCTGGAAATAATCAAAGGAGTATTGCCATCCTAGATTAGGATGAAGCAGCGAGATAAAATCAAATAAATTTATTCCCTATATTAAATTGCATCAATGACATAGGTTTGTCTAAAAATCACTCAGTTTTGTGCCTTGCTTTCTTGAGACCATTCCACCTCTCTGGCCTTTGACCAATATGGCAACAAAACACCTCACTCTAATGCAGTGTGGCTGCCTTGCCTCTCATACAGTATATATTGCTCACTGGAGCATAAAATATTTTTCTCTGGCTGGCCATAGAGGGGTAAAGACCTAAACAAAACACTAGAGATTCGACAGAGCCTCTTACCTGAGATGTCACTTGAGATATCTCTTATTCATAGAAGCTTATCTTCTCAGGCCAGAAGAGTATCATGACCCTGTTTCCAATAGTGATCTGGACCTGCTCAGAGGCTGAGGAGCCAATGGTGCCAATAGAGAAGAGAATCACGAATGGGCATCACGGTGGAACCCAACACCCTCAAGTCTGAGATGCGAGAAGACTCACCAAACAGTAGGTGCCCCAAGCGAGAGACCATCAGCGAGGGAGCAAAGAACAATGCCTGTACTTTAGAGAGCTGCTCCTGAATTTTCTGTAGGATGCAGAGAAGGAGTGTATGGATGGAAGATCAGCTGTTACCTGGAGAGGGAAAGGTGGATTAAGACCTTCAAAGCTTTTGGTCTCATCCTGCTTGTTCTAAATCCTTAAAAAGAGCCAAGTAGGATGAGACCCAAATCCCGTTTGATCCAACATCCTGTTTGTCATATGCCTGGGGACAGCTTGTTAGCAAAACATTAAGCACAATAGTCTTTTCCTGAAGTTGTTTCCAGAAACTGGCATTCAGAGATTGAATATCTGATCCTGGAAGCAATATGTAGTCATCATAGCTAGTACCTGGTGATGACTTTGTCTTAATTCC